GTACACGCCCGGGACCGTATGATTCAGGACGCCCAAGGCTGGTTCTTCCCCGACGTAGAGAAGATGAAGGCGGCAAGATCCATGGAGCTTAAGAGTTGCCGACAGTTAGACTCGTTGAAAGGAAGATACTAACAGACATGACGACGGGTTTTTTTCACTTGCGTTCTTCTCTCTCAACAAATACCGTGACGTTGTTTTATTAGCCGCATCTATTTCTTTCATACTTAATGTTGTCCACGCAGTATTCTGGGGGCCCTTTCGTTTCCAATTAGATGTCAATATATGTGCCGAGGTTGATGGCGTCGCATGGTCAGAGATGTTGCTGGGAAGTCTATAACGATATGCGATATAAATAGTATGAGTCTCAATCATTGTATGTACATGGAGAAAATTAAGCGATTAACTACTATGATAGAGATTGGGGATCACTGATACGGCGGCAGTAATCGGGGTAAGTTCAGAGCGGAGAAGATGGAACGATTGGCGGCAAAACGCCCGACACAGCTTAGTTAATGCAGACGAATCTGAGCGACTGCAACAGAAGGTCTCTCGCTCCCAGCGATATTAGTACCTAATCTCACATTCATTCATTCACTTGGCCTCTGGTTCTCAGTTCGTTCCCCGCAGCGTGACCCATCGATCTGAGAACCCGGCACGATTCGGTGACCATCGATTCAACTTTTTCCATCCTTTTCTCGCTGCTTTTCTGCTCATCGATTTGGCTCCGCATTTTCTGCCCCGCTGGTTGACAAGCCTTTCGTTAGGTACGGGGCACCGTATCTTTAATACTCAGAGATGTCCGACAGCCTCTCTGAAGCGGATAAGGTTCGATTTGATTTTCTAGAATTTTTCGGTCTGCCGTGGTCCTTGGTAGGGTGGTTCTGACCTGAGTAGATCCGCAACAAGCGCTTAGCAAAGCTTGGAAACCCGTCCCCGTCGTCCAGACAGAAGGCACAGAGCCCTCAAGCCGGCCTCAATCTCCCTCGACCCCAGCACTTTCCCGAACACAGTCCCACGCCGGCAGTGCAGCGAGTTCCCGAGCAGCGTCGCCAAGACCCGACCTACAGTCTGAAGGGAAGCGGATCAAGATCACCCCAGCCGTCTCGAACATCACAGGCCCCGATCGGTCACAATCGGTCACCCCAGTTTCTGGCACCCCACCGCCGCCGAGGGCAGAAGAGAGTATCGAGGCGTTCGAGGACCGTACACTGAGCGCGGTGTTCAAGCTGACGTTGAAGGAGGACCGCCGACGGGATATCCACGGACAAAGATTGACGTACCTCTCGGGCCTCAAGAGTGAACTCGAGGACCAAGGTCGCGATCTTCGTATCGAGACAGCTGTCCTAGACCAGGCTCTTCTGGAAGCTGCCTCAAATGCCCCCCAGCAGAAGCCCTTGGATTATCTGTTGCCGTGTTGGCGGAGGATTTCGAGGCTGCACAAGGGATTCCGTCGTGCTCGCGAAGATGACCCGAAGTTTAATGTCATATGCGAGGCCCGGCGCCTTTGCTTGAGCTATTGCATGTTTGCGATTACAATGCCGGAGATGTTTGGGTATGTACTGCGTTTCAGCTAGGTGGGGGGTGAGACACTAACATGGTTTTGCTAAGGATCGAACCGTCCGGACAGTCGCCCCTTAAGCCCTACCTTCTCTTGGACCCCGAGGATGATAAGGGCGTGGATTTTGAGTTCTTAAGTGAGGCTGTCAAAAGGTTTGAAGAGGATGAGAACATCAAGCCAGCATTCATTGCGGCGGTAGAAGAAATGAGCAAGGATCTTGCGGCCATGACGATCAATGATGATTATAAGCCCTACGTAACAGTATGTTCTGTCATCCCACCTTCTACCTGAGCGTCTTGTCAACCTCATTTTACAGGCCCTACGGAACCTTGTCCGCCATGCGGTTGTAGGTGCTGCGATCACAGAGTCGTCCTTGTTCAATGAATCTCGGGAGGCTGCAACATTCGAGAAGGACACGTTACTCGGGCCCTGGTTCCGTCTATCGCCTTTGCAAAGTGCAGTGACCTTGACCTATTTCTCAAGCCCCAAGACGAGAGACCAGGGGTATATCCTGAACGCACAGCGCTCACAGCGGATGATGCAGCAGATGCTGAGCTCAGATCTTTTTGACATAATCAACCATCTGATTCGGGCGTCGAAAGATGCGCGTGAGAGAGTTTTGGACTGGTTCGCCGCAGCTCTGAACATTAACCACAAGCGACGCGCTATGCAGGTTGATCCGAATACTGTGTCCTCGGATGGCTTCATGTTCAATCTCACGACGTGTCTGGACCACCTCTGTGAGCCTTTTATGGACGCCAACTTTACCAAGGTAGACTATTCTGAAATGATTACATGATTTATCTTCCGCTGACTCGACCATTAGATTGACAGGATCGATGCAGGATATTTGCATCGGAACCCTCGAGTTGATATGAAAGATGAGACCAAAATCAACGCAGACCAGCATGCGTCTGATGCGTTCTATGCTAAGAAGGTTGATGGCACCTCCAACTTCATCACAGAGATCTTCTTCCTCACAGTCGCTGCTCACCACTACGGTAGCGAATCATTGACGTCAAAGCTGGATCAACTGGAGAAGGACCTTCGACACATGGAGAATACAATTAACAAATTCGAGCAAGAACGGCAGAAGTGGAGCAACAACCCAATGCAACTCAGGGTCTTTGAGCAGGCCTTAAAGAAATACAAGGATAAGTTGGACTTGGGTCTTGCCTTGAAGTACAGTCTTCAAGGTGTGCTGTTTGACGACCAGTGGCAGGCCCGTTCCATGCTGTTCATGCGCTATGTGATTGTTTTCCTCTTGAGACTCGTGTCTGGCAAGAACTTCCCCCAAGAGCCCATCCAGTTGCCTCTGCCCGAGCAGCAGCAGGAAGTATGGCAGTGTCTTCCAGAGTACTTTGTGGAAGACGTTGTGAGCAATTTCAAGTTCATCATGTGGTGCATGCCTCAGATCATTACCGCAACGCAAGGTGACGAATTGGTCATGCTCTGCATAGCCTTTTTGGAAAGCACTAGCTATATCAAAAACCCATATCTGAAGGCCGGTCTTGTCTCTATTCTCTTCCGCGGAACATGGCCTCGCCCTGGCGGTGCGCGGGGCGTTCTGGTGGATCTCCTAAACTCCATGCCCTTTGCTAACGAGTATTTGCTGCATGCTTTGATGAAGTTTTACATTGAAGCTGAGCACACGGGCACCCATACCCAATTCTTCGACAAGTTCAACATTCGTTATGAGATCTTCCAGATCATCCAATGCATTTGGCCGAACACCCTGTACCGTGCCAAGCTTTCCAACCAGGCCAAGCGGAATCTGGATTTCTTCGTGCGCTTCGTGAACCTGCTCCTCAACGATGTGACTTTCGTGCTGGACGAGTCGTTCGGTGCCTTCATCACCATCCATACAACTCAAACGGAACTGCGTAACGGAGCGGGCATGGATCCCACCGTGCGACAGCAGAAAGAGGAACAACTTGCCTCTGCTCAACGCAATGCGAAGTCTTACATGCAATTGACCAATGAAACGGTGTCCATGCTGAAGCTCTTCACCGATGCTCTGGCGGATTCATTCACCATGCCGGAAATTGTGCAAAGACTGGCAGACATGCTTGATTACAATCTGGATGCTATGGTGGGCCCCAAGAGCTCCAGTCTCCGGGTCGACAACCTGCAGGAATACGGGTTCAACCCACGAGCCTTGTTGAGCGAGATCGTCGATGTGTATCTGAACTTGATGAACAAGGAGAATTTCATTGTGGCCGTTGCTCGGGATGGACGGTCCTACAAGCCGGCCAACTTCGAAAAGGCTGCGGAGATCCTGCGGAAGTGGTCACTCAAGTCTCCCGAGGAGCTCAAGCGGTGGGAGCAGCTCCAGCGCCGGGTGCGGGAAGCCAAGGAGGCCGACGAACAAGCAGAGGAGGACCTCGGAGAGGTCCCCGACGAATTTTTAGGTATGTCCGGGGAGCTGTTGTTCTTGGGAGTCCTGGCAGTTGCTAACCAATCTCCCAGATCCTCTCATGTATACCTTGATGGACGACCCTGTGATTCTTCCTGGGTCGCGAGTGTCTATCGATCGCTCCACCATCCGGTCTCATCTTCTGAGTGACCCCCATGATCCGTTCAACCGAGTTCCCCTCAAGATGGAAGATGTCACACCTGGTATGTATTCCGTGCGGTCGCCATTGCAGCTCCATGTTACTAACTCGTCCGATACAGACACGGAGCTCAAGGCCAAGATCGAGGCATTCAAGGCGGAGCGAATGTCAGCGCGCAGAAAACCAGCGACGCAGAGTGCATCGGAGACGATGGACACGTCTGCTGACTGATGGGATATCCATTTGTTTACGAGTTTGGTGGTCGTTGGACATAGATCCAGATCCACGATATTCCTGAAATTGGAACGATACGGGTTTTGTTTTATTGTTAATGGTTTGGATCGGAGTGGGGTCTTCTTTCCTTGCTCCTTCACGACTTGTAGCTTCGCTAGATGTTGAGGCTTAGCATAGATGAACAGATTAAAACTTATGTCATATTTGGATTTATCATTATTTCTGGAGGGATTTAGTAGGAGTGGCCAGTAAAGGAAGCGGGTCATCACTTGCATGAAGAGTGCCGGGGGATCCATGTTCAAGCCACCATGTAGAAAACTTTCGGCTCCTTCGCAGATTATAGAGGCGAGAGCTTATTTACTACTACTACTATATACGAGGTACATCCTCCACTCCAGATCTTCGCAGCCTTGGGTTTGGTCTGGCAATACGGAAATTAAAGATGCGGAGTCAACAGGGGAAAAGTCCCGCTAATCCTCATCGAGAAGATCGACTTCGTTCTCTTTGTCAAACAATCGAAACAAACACCTGACAAGTTGTGGCATCTATACGGTGACCTCATCGCCAGCCAGCATTCAATTTCTCCCGTTTCTTCACTCACCACGAAGGAACCCATCTTCAACAGTCACCATATCCAGGCAGAAATAAACACAATGGGATCAACCATCTCAATCCTCAATTCCCTCCCACCCCTCCAGGATCTCCTCCACCCGACCCCGGAAACATTCACCCAAATCCTCTCCATCTGGCAATACTTCGCTCCCGTAAGTTCCCACCACCACAAACCAAAAGAACACCCCAACTAACTCCAACCAGTTCACAATATTCATATGGCTCACCACCTGGTTCCCAATGGGCAAAACCTCGCTAAAATCCTCCATCTTCAACATCCCAGGCCACCTCGCCTGGTCCGCCATGGAACTCATGGCGCCCCTAAACCTCATCCATGTGATGCAAGCTCTCGCCCCAAAACTAAACACGGACCTCAGGTCCCTTCCACTCGCAAACCAGGTCGTAGCCGCACTGTATCTCATCCACTATGCCAATCGCGCGGTCATCTCCCCGCTATTCGCGGCCCCGAGCATGTCCCCCATCCATGCTTCCATCGCCGTCAGTGGTCTGACCTTCAATTGGTTCACTTCGACCTGTCTTGCAGCGTGGTTGTTGGGGTACCATATCCCTGTGACCGGGTATAGAACGGATGGGTTTGGTGATACGAGTTCTACCAGACCCGTGATCTCAGAGTATCTCCCCTACCTCGGAATCGTGCTATTCTTCCTGGGGATGGCCGGGAACATCATCTCCGAGCGAACATTCTTCCGACTCCGCCGCGAAGAGGCCGACAAACTGCACGCCCAGAAAGACAACCACGCAAAGGATGCCGCGAACAAGTACTCCAAAGTCTACGTCATCCCGCCGGCAAAGGGCCTTTTCCGATTCATCCTCTACCCGCATTACGTCTTTGAATGGCTCGAGTGGACGGGTTTCGTCCTCGTCGGCACCGCTGTGTACCCTGCGTCTGGGGCGGTTGCGCCCGAGATGAGCCTTGCGCCGTGGTTGACTCCGGCGGCTGCGTTGGCGCAGAGGTTGCGCGTGCCGTTGCCATTGGCGGCGGTGGTTTTCGTGGTGAATGTCGTGACTTCCATGGTGCCGCAGGCGAGGTTGGGGATGAAGTGGTATTTGAGCCGGTTTGGGAAGGACAAGATTGCTGGGAGGGGCGCCGTGGTGCCTTTCTCGGGGTGGTTGTAGCGTAGTTCTTTGGTTTGTTCGGTTCCATTGTACAGGATGCATGCTTGGTTCTGATGCCGACATTTTAATATAGTAACTTCGTTAAAGCTGGGTGCTGATTCGGTGGACACATATTGTGAGATTGTTAAATATTCTTGTATATATCTTTTATATATCTTGTTCATCAAATTTACATAGGATGACCATAGCTCGGTGTCCCTCTTCCTTAGCTTGTCATCCTCATACTTTTGGTAAAACAAGCATATTCCTCTTGGCCAAGGAAAAAAGGATGAAACAGTTTCGACATTGATTAGCTGGAAGGACAATAGGATTGGGACAGACAAACAAGCTTAACTGCATCCCCTGGTGACCTCTTCATCATATCTATATTCTCATTATCGCCTGGTCATTGTCCGTTTTGCGTTCGTCTGCTCCGTAGATATCGACAATACCAATTCTGTATCAGAATGATCTGCACAAAGGCTTCACAACAGCTTTGTGCCTAGCATAGTTGAGATTTATCTTACAAGATCTGCAGAGACATCACGCTCCTTATGACTACGAATGGCAAACAGCACATACATATATTAGTAATGTGGACAAAAAGTTATGTGTGAACTCAAGCTCGGCTACAACACCGTCTTGTATTAAATTTTTAAGGTGGAAACCACCCATGTATGTATGATTATACACATTGTTGAAATAGTTGGAAACCATCGGCGAAATCCAAAGACAATCTCGCTCATGCTACATCTCGCAGAGAAGGCAGCACGAAGAATTAAAAAGAAACAACCGTCACCCCAGAATCAGGGAACGCTGAACTTGCAATCATGTCCAGGTTTGGCTAACGCCGATGTTGAAATCGTGAATGTTGAAAACTCCATAGACCCCCGGGGATATCTCTAGAAACCCTGAACCCAGTATGTTGAACTTTTGGTATCATCATCGTAACTCATCATAAAACGAAACGAATTCGTCTCCCCCGAAGCGACAGGTTGAGAATGTCGCCCCTTCATGGGTTAATATTAATTAAGGTACACCATTTATTTGGCATACTTCTGACGGAAGTACTTGGCCGCATTGACCATGTTGGACAGAGCAGCCTTGGTCTCGGGCCACTGGCGGGTCTTGAGACCGCAGTCAGGGTTGATCCAGAGCTGGTCAGGACGGAGGTACTGAAGCATCTCCTCGACGCGGTCCTTGATCTCCTGCTCGCTGGGGACACGAGGAGAGTGGATGTCGTAGACACCGGGTCCAATGTGACGGGGGTAGGCCTCGTCAATGAAGACCTTGAGCAGCTTGGCGTCGGACTTGCTGTTCTCAATGCTCAGAACATCGGCATCCAGAGCGGCAATAGCGTGGAAGAAGTCCTGGAACTCAGAGTAGCAGAAGTGAGAGTGGATCTGAGTGCCATCGGCAACACCGGTGGTGGCCAAGCGGAAAGAGCGGACAGCCCACTTGAGGTAGTCCTCACGCTCCTTGCCGGAGCGGAGAGGGAGACCCTCACGGAGGGCAGGCTCGTCGACCTGGATGACCTTGATACCAGCAGCCTCAAGGTCAATGACTTCGTCACGGAGAGCAAGAGCCAGCTGCTGAGCCTGGACGGACTGGTGGACATCGTCACGAGGGAAAGACCACCGGAGACAGGTGATGGGACCAGTGAGCATACCCTTCATGGGCTTCTTGGAGATGGAGACGGCGTACTTGGACTCCTTGACGGTCATGGGGGCAGGGCGAGAGATGTCACCAACAACGATGGGAGGACGCACGCAACGAGAACCGTAACTCTGGACCCAGGCGTGGGTGGTGAAAACGTAACCGGTGAGACGCTCACCGAAGTACTGGACCATGTCGTTACGCTCAGGCTCACCGTGGACGAAGACATCCAGGTCGAGCTCCTCCTGGATCTTGACAACATCCTCGATCTCCTTCTCGATGAACTTCTCGTACTGCTCAGCGGTGATTTCACCCTTGGTGAACTTGTTACGCTGGACACGAATCTCCTTGGTCTGAGGGAAAGATCCAATGGTGGTGGTGGGGAAGAGAGGAAGGTTGATAGACTTGCCCTGCTCGGCATGACGGACGGGGAAAGCAGACTTGCGGTTGTGCATCTCCTCGGTGACGGCAGCCTGGCGCTCCTTGACCTTGGGGTCGTTGGTGCGGCTGGACGAGGCACGGCTCTGGACAGACTTGGCGTTGGCCTCGAGCTGCTCACGGACGGCAGCAGGGCCCTCAGTGACGGCCTTAGCGATCACAACGACTTCGGCAGTCTTCTCAACAGCGAAGCTGAACCAGTCACGCACTTCGGCGTCGAGGTTCTTCTCGCTTTCAAGGGTGTGGGGGACGTGAAGGAGGGAGCTGGAAGTGGCAACGATCACACGGTCCTTGCCAAGCTTCTGGATAGCCAGCTCAACCTTCTCAATGGCGGCCTTGAAGTTGGTCTTCCAGATGTTACGACCATCGACAACACCGGCAGAAAGGACCTGGTTGGGGCCAAGAGCACCAACGACGGTGTCGAGCTGCTCAGGGTTGCGAACAAGGTCAACGTGGATACCGTGGAGGTTGTGAAGAGCAGGAAGGACATCAATGTTGTGAACAATGTCACCGAAGTAGGTGGCGAGGACGATGCGAGGAGCCTTGTCACCGAGAGCACCGAGCTTCTCGTAGGCAGGCTTGAAGGCATCCTTGGACTTGGCGGGGAGGTCAAAGACGAGGACAGGCTCATCAATCTGAACGTCCTCAACGCCAGCCTCCTTCAGCTTCTGGAGGAGCTCGACGTAGACAGGGACGAGGTCATTAATCTTGGAGATGGGGTCAACGGTCTGACCACGGTCAGCCTTGGCAAGAGTCAGGAACGAGACAGGTCCCAGGATGACGGGACGAGTGACGATGCCGGCCTCCTTGGCCTCAAGGAACTGAGCAACAGGCTTGGGCTGATCGGCGAGCTTGAAAGTCTGGTTGTCCTGAAGAGTAGGCTTGACGTAGTGGTAGTTGGAGTCAAACCACTTAACCATTTCCTGTATATCAAATTAGACCTATTTGTCGAAGAAAAAGGTGGACCAGTATAACATACCAAGCTAGGGACATCAATGGCGGCCTGGCCATCCTTGGCAGGCTTCTGGAGACCACGGCCCATGGCGAAGTATTCGTCAACGGGGTGGAGGTTGTACTTGCTGTATCTCTCGGGGATAACCTAATTGAAGGAGAACGTTAGAATAAGCCAATATGACGGTCAATGGATATGACAACGTACACCGAACATCTGGATGTGGTCGAGGACCTGATCGTAGAAAGCGAAGTCATTGCTGGGGATGATGTCGACACCAGCATTCTTCTGGATCTTCCAGTGCTCCAGACGGAGTCTCTTTCCCTCGGCCAAGAGATCGTCACGAGAGATCTTTTCACCCCAGTAAGCCTCGGTGGCCTTCTTCAGGTCACGAAGCTTTCCCATACGAGGGAAACCCAAGACGGAGCTATCGACAAGCTAAGTTAGCATTATTCAATGACCGATGAGTTTGTTGAAAGGTCCAAAGAGGAGGATTGACATACGATTGAACCATCTTGACAGATATGTGAGTACGGATTTTAAGGGAGGAAAGATAGGAGGATAGGGAATGGAGTAGAGAAACAAGATAGAAGTCTTGTCACAAAAAAAGAAGAATGGATCAAAAGATACAAGAGACAGTCACCGTCTCCTGTAGAGGGAAGGGTCAAAAGGGGAAAAAGGGATGAAAGAGAATAGAAGAAGAAGAACAAAGCAGGAGGGCGAGAGGAAGGAATAAATAAGAATGGGAGCTGGGGATGGATGGAGGGGAAAAGAACAAGAGCGACGGAGTGGAAACGAAGATGACATGAAAAGATCAAGTAAATGGACCAATCGAGGGGCAGGTTGAATGGAGGGGCAACGTATTTATCGTTACGCCGACTCGCCGACAATACGGCTAGAGCTCGTTCTGGTACAAGTCGGGGAAAGATCAGGATGGCGTGATTGCCCCGTTTCTCTCCCAGGCCCGTAATTTTAAGTAATTTTAGGTCTCCGTCCACTCTGATCACCACATACGGTACCAACCAGAGTCTCCAGATTCTGTCGGCTGTGGTGATAAAGGGACTGGGCCTTATCTGGTTGCAGTTTAGCCCGCCCACGGACGCTCCGGGATCGGCCACTCTTTACTGGTTGGTACAATACAGTATATCTCGTATTCATACAAACTACGAGTAATTCTCCTGATAAGGTACAGTATATACTTTTTTTTTGTCAATTTCTGCCAGACCGAAAAAAAAATAAAATAGAGAGAGAGAG